CTCACCACAGACAGCCTGGTAAGAGCTTGTCAACACAACGCGTTTGACCGACTTAGCAGCCACGCAGGCCTTGAACACGTTGAGAACAGCCTCCACTGCCGGCTGCGTAGGCGCCTCTCCTTCTGTCGCTGCAGGCACTGCCGCGGTGGGCTTGATGGCGAGGATCACGTACTGGACATCCTTCATGGCACTAAAACCACAGGAAAGGAAGGAAACAATCACTGACATTGAAATATAACACCCTATTAATAATAATCCGCTGTGAAGAATGAGTAAGTAAGGAAGTTTATTCAATGTTTAAGGCCATTGGCCCACATCACATCATATAATTCCCTCATGTGTTAAATAAAGTTACTATAATGGAAATGTACAGGTTGAGCACATATTTCTTATTATGGGTCAAACATTGCATATTTTTGTCACTACGCAAAGTCATGAAGGGAGGAATTAACAATGGGAAAAAAAGAGAAAAATAATGAAGACTGCATTTGGTGGAGTGTCCACAGAGTAGATCACACACTGGGCTTTCTTCCCTCAAAAAAACAACCCAGAGGGACAAATGGAGAAAATAATTAATGTAGAAAATTAACAACTTTCTAGACAATTCATGTCAGAAAACAGGCCAATCACTTGGACCCTGCCCAAACACTAAGCGGAGATAGACATTTTTGTTTGTAAAAATAGCGATACAGACAGCCAAAAATTAAAAAAACAGCTGGTACCCTTCAACTTCACCCATTCAGAGAGAGAGAGAGAGAGAGAGAGAGAGAGAGAGAGAGAGAGAGAGAGAGAGAGAGAGAGAGAGAGAGAGAGAGAGAGCGAGAGTCTATATACAGAAAAGGAAAATAATAATGATGAAAACCCCCACGCTATACAGTAGCCATAGGCATCACAGAGTAGAACACACACTGGACCTCCTTCATGGCCCTGAAAGCACAAGGACACATGGAGTACACAAGTGATGTTACAGTTATCCGAGATACACACCACAGGGGGCTTCATGACACTGCAGGAACAAAAATGACAGGGTTCACATAAAAAAAAAGAACAGAGAAATTTGTAAATTCTTCTTTAAGATACATTTCATAAAATCACCAAAAGTTAACCCTGCCACTTCTCCTTCCGTCTTCCCATCTTTGTGAGGGTGTAAGTATCATAACTTTTTCGCCTACCTCTCCCAGGACTCAGGCTTGGCGGGGTCAGCCTCCACGACCTCGACCTTGAACTTGGCCTCAGGACAAAGCTCGTGCAGGACCTTGATCCTCTCCTCCTCGTCGGACAGCGAGCTGACCGTTCCCCTGACCTGACAGCCATCTTCCTGGAGCTGTCGGATGATGTGTGATGAGATGAAGCTGGTAGCATCTGTGACCAATACAACTGTACGGGAAAGAAAAAACCACAGAGGACTTATTATTCATCAACACTATCGAGGGCGTGATAACGGGAAGTACAAATCATCACTGTCATTCCAATCACAATCATTTATATTTTAACTCTTTCCCGCCAGCTTGCCATTTGAAGTGGCAAACTGGAAGACCCCCTACTAACCACCATTACCGTGTTGCATTAATACTAATCACTGCTTCCCAGTTTTGCTTCTCATAATCCTTTCATGCAAATTCAACATCCACATGTGTCCATGATTGTATTGTCTGTTCAATTTGCAGTAGTTTGAGGTGTCAACCACCCATTTTGGTTACATTTAGATTTGTCAAAAGTGTTCATAGTTGGTGGAACAACCCTGACAAAATGATGCTCCGGTGACTATCGTGCAAAACAACTGTGGCTGTACACACAGAGTATTTCATTATCACTGCAATTCACTGCGGGGTGAACAGGGAGACACAGTTTAGGCTCTTGGACCAGAAACCGTAAGGTCATGGGTTCAAATCCAGTCAGGGCCCTGACGCTGTGTTCTTGGGAAAGGCACTTTACATGAATTTGCCTCACTTCACCCAGGTGGGAATGCGTACCCAGCTATAGACAGCAAAAGATCTTGACAGTTGGTTAGTGTTTGAGAGCGTGCAATTCCCAGCTTGCACTGTATGCCACCCGGGAAGCTGAGATTTTTGTAAGTAATCTTGTTTGTTTTAGTAGAGGTTTTACGGCGCTCGCAGTGGCATAAGGTCTTATGAGCCCCAGAAGATCAACGGTGTTTGTTTAGCTTTAGTAGAGGTTTTACAGCGCCCGCAATTGCATAAGGTCATATGAGCACCAGAAGAATAGAGGTGTTACAAGAGAGTAAGAAACATAAAAAAGAAGAAGGGGAGATAAAGAGGATAGGTGTTTGATAGGAAAAAAGATAAGAAGCAAACCACACCAAAGCACTCGCCAACCACACACCATCAAAGGTATTACAAGGGAGTAACAAACATAAAAAAGAAAGAGGGGAGATAAAGACGACAGAAGTTTGATAAGAAAGAAGGAGCAAATCACACCAGAGCAACCGCCAACCACCCACCTGAGTAATCTACTGTCTGCTGGGGTGACAATAATTGTAAAGCGCATACAGCATGCAGTAAAACGTACGTGGATATGCTCTTTTTAAATGCAATTACTATTATTATCATCTATCTGCTAACACTGGAATTTGTGACAAGACAACTGGCAGCATCTGTGACACACACACACACACACACACACACACACACACACACACACACACACACACACACAGAGAGAGA